GAAATCGCTTCACGAAATAAATTAATAGTGTTAAAAACGTGACATTCCACATAGTATTTCTCTGATAAAAATTTAGCTCTTAAGAATTTAACTTAAATTAATACAATTTTATACTAACATCTTCAATGGGTGCCTTGCCATTAAACAAAATTTCTTAAATGATGGTAAGTATTTGATGTATTTTTGGACACTAAAACTGAAATCCTGATACATATCAATGATTTCAAATTTTCAAAATGTCATCATAATTAAAAAGAAATTAATTTTAAAGAGAAAATTAAGAGGAAAATTACACTGTGACCTTTCAGAATATTATATTGAATTATTTTATCCATTTTGGAACAAAATATGAGACATTACATAAAATGTGTACTATACTGAAGGACACTAGTTCCAGTAGTGTGAAACTGATAATTGATTACCTCGGCAAAGAATAACAAAAAAGCAATCATACTTCACGGTGATACAGAATTGAAAGAAAATTGCTGCCGATATTGCGGGTATCTTGCTGTAAAAAACAGCTTAAATTGCGAGATTAGACGTACAACATTATCGTTGCCAGGGTCGCTTCAGCCGATAAACAAAGAAGCGTGCACCGGTCTTCACGCTCGGTCGCGCTCGCCCGTTAAGCTCGAGCTGCGAGCGGTCCCAATCGCGACGGGGGCGGGGGCGGCGGCGGCGGGGGGCGGTGGCGGCGTAGGCGAGAACGGTGGCGGTGGCGGTGGGCGACGTGGCTGCGACGAGGCTCGCGGCGGGCGGGCGGGGTCGGGGCGCGGCGGGAGGCGGCGGTCAGCGGGATGCCGACGGAGGGCGGCGCGGCGGAGGGCGGAGACGGCGGCGGGGGCAGGCGGCGCGGGCGGCAGGGGGCAGCAGGGGCTCGCGGGGACGCCTGCGTGCGGGAGCGGCGGCGGCCGCGGGGGCGGCGCGGGCGGCGGCGCGCTGGCGGGCGGGGCGGGCGGGGCGGGGGCGGCGGGCGGGGGCGACGGCGGGGCGCGGCGGGCGGGGGGGGGCGGGGGGCCGAGAAGGCAGGAGCGACACGCGACAGCAGACAACAGCGGAAACAGCGCTTGGGCGCGGAGGAGGAGGAGGAGGAGGAGGAGGAGGTGGCAAGTGCGACGGAGGCGGGGATCACTGAGGCAGAAATGAAGGAAATAAAGAGGCGCTGTAATGGCAGATGGGAGGTCAATGCACAGTTCGGCGACAAGCAGTGCTGCTTGTGGGAGGTAGAAACCAGGTATTGACGATGGTCGTGTCGACAGGTAAAGCTAAGAGATAATGTAGCGATGCCGGCCAAAGACGACGAGAATGAAATGGTGTGTCAGATAGAAGGAGCAGCGATGATATTAAAATGTGTTGTAGGGTGCCAGCAAAGCCATCCCTTGGCGGGAACGTGAAGAGGAACACAAAGGCTGTGGGTACATCTTGGATCAGTGCCGGAGCTAGACAATTATGAGTACGGGCCAAAGCTGAAACGTAGTCCCTCCGCTTCAAAATATGAAAGATGTAGCAAGACACTATGAGCTAATTTATTCAACTAATAACAATTACGTTTAAGCTAGAAAGTTTTTGAAAATATATTTTAAATAGTTTAGTTTTTGGTAGCAGTATCTAGTAATTCACTAATAAAATGTAAATGGCGAGCTTAAAACGATAAAAAAATGTTGTGTTTAGTTAGTAGTTCATAAACTTGTTAAATACATGAAATAATAAATATGAATTTCAGTAGAACCTTTTTTCATGTTAGCGTTATTTTATTAATATTAGAGTCCTACCTTACAAAAAAAGATTACAACTTTTAAGGTAAAAAAATAATTTAATAAAATATTAGACGATTAATAAAATAACGAAATGATTTTCTCGCGTTCTAATTTCTTTTATTCAATCTTTTTCTGTTTCTTCCCGTCAGTCGCATGAGCATCGCACGCCTGTTGGCTTGCGGGACCCCGGGCGATCGCCCGGTCCGCCCACGCCCGCGCCCACCGCCGCCGCTGCTTCCAGGTGCCCCCCCCCCGCTGAGAGACGACAGAGGAGGTGCATCCGAGGCGCAAGGCCGGGGGCGGGGGCGGGAGGCGGTTCTTGCGCGGAGTCGAACCCCGGAAACGCCCGGAGCGCCTTGGCGGGCGACCGCGGCGGCGGCAGGGGCGGTGTTCCCACGCCGGCATCACTCACTCACTCGCGCGCCCGTCACAGCCGAGCGGAGCGTTATTATAAGGCGAACAGTGGCGCCGCGCCGCGCCGCCTTGCCGACTCACCGCGCCGGGGTCACGCTCCGACACCCCGCCTCCCGCCAGTGGTCGCTTTCGACAACGTCCAAGGGCAAAGCAAGGACATTAACAGCGACAAACGCTGCAAGAAAGGCTACAAGCCATAATTAAAGGGTAGAGTGGGTCCTAAATAGTAATGGAGTGGAGATGTAGGTACCAAATTGTAGCCTCAAGGTCCAATATTGTTTCCTCCGAAGTCGTGTTCTATCGGAGCTTACATTGCACGCGGCAGCTAGCGTTACGCCGATGAATTTGTAATTGGTAGATAATGAAATAGTCTACTTACAGATTAACTTTATTCTTAATACATTATTCAATGCTGATGTTATCTACGGACATAAATTGGAATAATGACCTATCCCAACCAATCAGAGTAGAAATATTACTTCCTATTTCCTTCTTTTTTCGCACAAACACCACAAAAATATTTCTCTAAGTGCACTTTTATTTATTTTATTTATTACTTATATTAGGAATGTTTCACTTAAACCAAATCGATGGAAAGTCAAACCATAAGAAAGATTTTTTACATCACTTATGCAAGAGTCAGCATTATGCATTTCTTCCACATTTTACCGCTTGTGCTCATAGAGTATTATTAAATAATATAGTATTTTGTGAATGGTTTGTAAAGAATAATTAACAAAACAACGTCCACCATTATACGGAGTATTTTTCATTCCTAGGATGTGAATTTAACTTACCAACTGACAATGACAAACTATTGCTAGCTATTGTCCCGAAGTGGTAGATACAGTGAAGGCACAAAAACAAAAAAAAACAAAAAAAAACAAAAAAAAAAAAATGCCCTTTCAATTTTATGTGTTATTAGTAAAGGATATGGATAACTGTTCCTAAAACTTGAAGTGCAAAGAAACTGAAGGTTAGGAACAAAAGTGAACAGGTGAAGTTTAAAAAATATTTTAAAATTACTTGGAATTACTAAATGTTAAGTGTACTTTTATTAACAAATAATATGTATGAAAGTTTATGTAATTTTTTTACGTTGTGTGCAATTAACTGAATGAAATATCTCTTGTTTGCAGTTACGCCATGCTACCATGCCATAGGAAAGATCAACATTGCATTGAGAAAAGGAATTGGTGTAACTATAAAATATATGAAATGGATTTGTAGACACGGTTTAGTTTAGTCTTTTAATCTGGTAATAACATAAAATTAAGTTTCGGAGCATTTTCAAACGTCTACAGCGAAAATAACAACTTCAGCCACACATGAGCATGAGTATTGCGTAAGTAAACTAAGCCATTTTGCTGTTGCAATGTTTTGTACGTTTTGAGGCCATGAAATAAGATCTTGCCTATTATGACAATTTCGAAAACGACTAGGAGCAACTAATCGGTTACATTCTCATAGATATGAAAGAAATTTAACAACACAATTCTTCCCTTCAAAAAGACGCTTCAAAACTCTACTGATGTTGATCGCGCACTGAATCAACAATACATCTCACCAAAGAAGTACAATGCGTGTCAACCGTCACCAAGACGCACCCGCGAGCTACTAACCGCTCTCTGTGCTCTCGCAATTCTGGAAGCTGTCGGCATGAAATTTCACGGGTGAGAACGCGCCGACACTAACATCCCAAGAGACTTTTTGCCCTCGCCCTCCTGCGCGAGCACTGTGCGCGTGGGTGGCAACGAGCCAACCTCGCCGCCGCCGCCGCCACCAGCATCATCACCGCTGCAGCAATAGTCGCCCTCCCTTCCCCCCCCGCACTGCTCCGCTCCAGACATCGCGTCGCGCCGCGGCCCTGACAAGTGCAACGACGCCGCCGGCGCCGCCCAGCCCCCGCCCGCCCCGCCCGCCCGTCCCGCCCCGTCCCCGACCCGCCCACGCCCCCCGTTCGTTGTTTTACGGCTGTAGCCTCGCAAAAAGCAGCGCGTTGGCACCGCCGTCGCTCCTCAGCCGCCTCTCTTCCCGGTCCCGCCCCGCCCGCGCACCCCGCTTCGTCCGGGCCGTCCCGCCTCACCCCGCTCCGTCCATCCCTCCATGCACGCCGCCCGCCCACTCCATCACTCGTCTCACCCACCCCGTCCCGGCGGCTCCCTGCCCCGTGTCGCGCCGCCTGCGCCCGCCCGTCCCCCCCTTTCCGGCTCGGAAACAGCCGCGCGGATCGCTCTTCCGCCGTCGCTGAAGCGGCGTAAAGCGCGCGCCAACCGCCGGCAGGCGCCAGATACCGCTCTTGCGAGGGCGAGGGCGATCGCCGACGCCAGGATGTTTACTCACGGCCGAACTCAGCGCTTCCTCGTCATTTCTTTCCGTTAACGCTTACGAGCTGGTTCAATAGGGAGACACTTCTCAGAAATTAAAGTCGTGTCGTACCACTGTTTATTAAACTCACGTTTCGATCGCCATCTTGCAGTCTTCGTTGACATTCTGGACGGACGTTTTTAATAATTTACACGTCGACCGGATGTTATAGGTATTACAGGAAGAGAAAGGGAATAAAGGCCAGAAAATCTTGTTTATTCCGTTTTCATGAACTCCTTTTGTCAATAAAGTTAGTTCAAGATCGCATTGCTCTGATAACAGATTTGTGTCGACTTCTCAATTCCATTGTCCTTCACGTTTCAAAAATCAGTTCCACATACATAGTATTAACATTACACTATCTTAGTGTGTTTTAGAAATAAGAAGAATTAATTTTATTGAAAGTAATGGTTTATTTCATTATGAAAATGAAGCTTTTCAGTTTGGTGGAAGTGTGACATACTAATATCTGAAAAAAAAGGAGAGGTGATTAACATCATTATGTTCTCTCTTTTACTGTATAGGTTATTATAGTGATAGTATCCTAGGTTTTTCACTACAACTGAAAGACGCTACAGTTATCATGAGAATGATGATCAATGATAACGGATAGTATGATGGTTCAGATGAGGTACGTTGTAGGGTGAGGATCAGGGGCGGCGAGACCCAACTGTGAATTTCTGTTTTAATTTATTTTATTGTAAATATTATTGATTATTTTTCTTTTGGGTTGGAGCACGACCGATTTCTTTTGTTTTGGAGCGCAGCACGGCGGCGGCGCGGCGGAGGCCCCCGCCCAAATATCGCATCTGGATCCTTTCTGTAGTTTGGACCAGCTCTGAGTGAGCGAGTCATTGTGAGAGAGGCTCTGTGGGGAATAAAGAGGAACGAGCTGCTTGCTTTAAACACACAGGGCGGTGCGTGCGATCGGCTACGTACAGAAGGACTTGAGACATTTCGGGGACTTTCGGCACTCTCTCCCAGCCCCAAATTCGTGAACCTTTTCTTCCGCGTTCATCAAATTGAAATGAGAAATGGAAATTCCCAGGAGCAAGATATCCAAACACTACTACAATGTAAATGATTGGTTCACATTTTATAAAAGGGTTGAGTTCCTTGTTGTACTAGAGGTATACACACTGATTGAAAATGCCAATAAAGGTTGATCTGATGCAGAATAAACCAACTAAATAACAGTAACTTTTTATAGAAATATAGGTACTTTATATCACCATTAGTCATGTCCATTTTCGCATCGCAAGCTTTGAATGATTCTCACACTGTAATCGTTCTTTGTAATCGCCTCGTCAGTCGCTTCCATGATGTGTACAGTGATAAGTGCGCAGTGTGGTGTCTTGACAAATATTGTACCTAACGGTGCTACCTTCGCTCATGCACACTCGCATTATTTCTAAATTTTCAATTTATTATTTATTTCAATTTATTATTATTTTCAATTCAAAGAGTAACGAATATAAAGTCTGCCCCATTCTTCCAAACGTTGTTTTTTCTATCCGTGGAAAAAAATAAGGAACATTTGAAGCGGTATTTAAGAAAATGTCTTTCTGCTTACATTTCAAGCAGAAATTACGCAAAACTACTAGTTTTTTACAAAAATACCCTTTTAAAGAGCTGAATTTTTGGAATATAGATTTTTCCCTTAAGAAAAATCTATATTCAATTTTGTATTTTTAGTATTTTTGAATAAAATATTTTGAAAAATTAAAAAACTACTAATATTTCATGAAAAATATTACGCGACTTCTACTCATATTTTGGAATTTAAAAAAATCTCGATATTTGTCTTTAAAGAACAGATTTTATTAAGGAAAAAAATTGAAAAATTTTGTACTTCCATGTATACGCCGAAAAAAATTGAATTTTCGTTGAGCTCAACGTTTGTAGGAGTCCAAATAATCGTTTAACAAATGCAAAGTAAAGACGTTAGAGTATTTGACGGTCGCTCTGAATGCCTGCCTTGAAGAAAGCCGTTCAAAACCAATCAAAAATTATCATGGATTTGACAGAACTCCGACTCACATCACACTAGCAAATTTTCCAGGTTTTTTCACATTTAAATAATACTAATTAACTTTACTGATCTGCCTTTTCCAATAAATTCTTGAATTGATACTGTGTGGCCTAACAAAGATTTGCTAATGAGAGGAAATAAACGTAATCAAAATACAGTACCCAACATTGAAGGCTAAACAGAGCAGAACAGTAGTTGTTAATGTGAGATAAACCAGTGCAGAAATAACAACCGGTCATAATCGCAAACGACCACTCGAGACGCCACCGGTCCTCGGTGGTTACCAGCGGCGCTCCGGGCGTCCGCCCGTCTGTCCGACTGCTCGTCGCGGCGTCGCGGCGCCGGCGGCGCTGAATAGCGGCTGATGAGCGCGAGCAGCTGAAAGCAGCGGCGCCGGCGTTTGTTTGCGCGTGGGCCGCAAGGGCGCGCTGCCCGCAATTGGAGCGCAATGCCCGCGCGCGCGGGAAACAACCCCATTAGAGCTCGCGCCGGCGAATTGCGCGGCGCGGGAGGCGGGCGATGGCCGGGCGGGGCCGCGCGACTGCGACGCCACACGGGCCCGCGGCTGGAGAGACGGAGGGCAGGCAGCGCGAGTCTGGGAGGGGGGCGAGACAGAGCCCGAGAGTCAGGGTGCGAGGGTCAGGGTGCGAGAGTCAGGGTGCGAGAGTCAGGGTGCGAAAGAGTCAGGGCGCGGAGGATCAGGGCCCGAGAGTCAGGCCGAGAGCAGGGGCCGAGAGTCAGTGCGCGGAGAGTCAGGGCGCGAGATTCAGGCGCAAAGTCAGGGCGCGAGAAGTCAGGGGACGAGATCAGGCGCGAGAGTCAGGCCCGAGAGCAGGGCGCGAGATCAGGGCGCGAGAGTAAGTGCCCGAGAGTCAGCCGAGAGTCAGTGCGCGAAGTCAGGCCGAGAGTCAGGAGCCGAGAGCAGGCGCGAGCGAACAAGACTGTGTGGGAGACGAGAAGCGGGGGGATAGCTAGGGTGTGGAGATGAACGGGTGAAGCAGGAGAAGAGGGGTGGCGAAGGAAGCGTGAAACGGGAGCGGAGAGGCATGAAATAACGGTGAAGGAGCGGGAACGGTGAAGCAGGGAGAGAAGGTGAAGCGAGGAAAAAGGGGCAGCGAAGGAGATAGAGTACGGTGAAAGGAGGGAACGGGTGAACAGGAGGAGGGGTGGGAATGAAGCTTAAACGGGAGCGGAGAGATAGATACGGGTGAAGGAGGAACGGTGAGCAGGAAGAGGTGTGGAAGGAAAGCGTGAAACAGAGAGCGGAGTGAGATAAGTAACGCGGTGAAGAAGGAACGGTGAAGCAGGGAGAGAGGGTGGGAAGGAAGCGTAAACGGGAGGGCGGAGGAGATAGAGTCGGGTGAGGAGGGAACGAAGTGAAGCAGGGAAGAGGGTGAGGGTAGCGCTGAAACGGAGGCGGAGAAAGGGAGTACGGAGGGGACGGGTGAAGCAGGGAGAGAGGGGTGGGAAGGGAAGCGTGAAACGGGGAGGCGGAGGAGATAGAGGAACGGGTGAAGCGGATAGAGGCCAGAGCGGGCACAGGGAGGGATGGGTGGCGCTTCATGGTGGTGACGCGGGGCTGGGCGGGGTGGCGCTCCGCAGAAGACCTCGCTAATGAAATTCCTGGAGCCACCCCTGCGCCCCCTGTGTCGTCTGCCCCCTGCCGCCTCTCCGCGCGTTGGAATAACCCGTCCGCCGAGTGGGGAAGCCTCAATCCGGAGGCCCCTGCCCGAGCCTAGATTACCTCCTCGCAGTTTGGGAGCGGGAGCCAAGGGCCAGAGTTATAAGACTTTCGGGGAAGATAAGGCATGCTACGAGGAGGGTCGAAAGAAAACAAAGAAACTTATAATATAAGAATGATAAACTCGGAGCACAAAAGTTCTGTATAAGATATAATAGTTTAGAGCAAAAACAAAAGGGAAAGGAAAAATTTCAAAGAAGAGGAAATACAATACTACTGGAAAATAAGATAAATTTTGCCAGGAAAATAAGAAAATGTACAGCAATATGAATTTATATTTAATTTTATGGAATATTTCAAATGTTTCGGGATTTCACAACTTTTTTAAGCATTTTAGGGAATTGTCCACACAGTTTTCGCAATTTTTTCGAAAAAAACAGAGTGCATACTTATATTCTACTTCAAGTGTTGGAAAGGGGGAAATAGGACTAGTTTTTACAAAATATTATTTAGACACAAAAGTTTTCTTGTTTTGAACGCCAAGAGACCAACATTTCATTAAGATCGGAAAAATGTAGATATGAATAAAAATAGTATTTTTCTTCTTGGAACAAGAAATAATCACCTTAATATATAAGTATAACTTATTCCCGACAAAATCTTCTACCTTTGAGAAAACTCCATTGAAATAGCTTTTAGTCGTTTGGGATATTGGCCCTGACAGACAAAGAATTGTAAAAACTATGAATGGATTTTTATCATAACTAGGGGGCGGATTTGATGAACTAAAACATTGCTGAAAACGATCAATAAAATGATCTTAAAACGCTTTCAAATGCCCTAAAAACAAAGGAAAATGACGTAAAAATTTGATTAAAACCGCTTCTGATGAACAACACAAACTGTTGGGTATTAACTCTAGTAATAGAGTCTTCTTTCTTTTGTTCAAGTGATCTCAGCTTGCAAACTTTTGTATTGGTCTAATCTTTAAAAGAAAATCGGCGCCGATAGGTGTCACATGAACCATTTATTACATAGAACTCACAACGGCTAACATAACACAATATGAACGAAGAAATTGAATAGGCCACTCAAGAATTCTGTGGTGACGATTTGTTCCACCTCGTAAATATTGTTTGAAGCAAGTACCATTACAATTATATTAAAACCAATTAAATACGCGAAAAACGCATTAAAGTTGCGTAAAATGGTAAAAAATAACTTATTAGGCGAAATCGACGAAAAATGCAAAAAAGTACTTATACAAATGGGTCATTTTGTTTTGTCATAACATAAAATGGATTTTTTATACTAAACGGCATTGTTTTAAAGTGAAAAGAAAAAATGACATTTCATTAAAATACACCTCATAATCATGACTATTTTAGCTTAACAATAAGTCATTTTGAAATCACAGATGTGTTACATCAATTTTGTTAATATACATGTGCTTTCCCTGAGACATTACTACTCTTGACCGGGTCGTTGGCTGCATCCAACGGCCGTGTCCTTCCAGAGGCGCCAACCGTATCTATGGATGTCCACTTTCGGAAGGCAGTAGTGCCTGAACCGGACCAGGCACAGGAAAGGGCCGTGCGCATCACAAGTTACGATGGAGTTTGCAGTTAAATTTCGTTCGTGCCATCTGAGAAGACGCAAATCGTTTCCCCTCTCACGCCATAAACGTGATCCAGAAAATTACGCACTTAAGTTTTACAGAAAGGTTGACGAGTTAAAATAAGTTAAGTTGTTTTGAGGTTGTGAACCCGAAGACAACAGTGCCAAGAAAAAATCATTAGTTATATTTTATTCTAATTAAGCTAATAATATTTGTTCTCTCCATTATATTTCAAATGTTTCTACATAGGTTTTACTACTGAATATACCTTTTGAATTGATATTTTGTAAAAACTATGTGGTAAATTTAATATATTGTAGGCAGGCTATTTTTATTCAATGCTAAAACATTCATCACATTAAATACAAAAAATAGTACACGTTTCAAGCATCTTTCAAAAAATCTCAATAACAAACGTTCTATACTACTTTCATATTTTGTTACAAGAGCAGGATGGATATTGTTTTATCTGTGAATCTTAGTTTAAAGTCGTAACAGAGAAACCGAGATGTATTGGACAACTACAACGAAATCAAACAAATTGAAACAACTTTTAAAATGCATATTTCACGAAAAATAGAGAATATTTTTCCAATATTTATTTTGTTTTCACTTTTAAAACTTTCGCTAAATCATGACGATTATTGAAGTATTCCGATAATACGTTGTTCTACGAATCGATCTGAAATCATTCATGTCAATATTGGCATGTATAGTGCTTTCTCCACTCCCAGAAGCCTCATCTCGTGATTTCCACGAGGACCAGACCTCGGCGAGTTTGGTGGCGACAGGGCGATTCCAAACCAGAAGTCGACGTGTGTGGAACGGATTCGTCCAAAGAAGCGGTCGCCGGGATGTAATTCCGCGCGAGTCGCCTCGCCGGCTGACCGTGAACCTGAAAGGCAATACTCCCAGAGTTCGAAGTGCGCGATTCCACGGCAGATACCCCTCAGCGCCGCCCGACACGAAGTCGTAAAGGGATCGCATGACGCCTCGGCGTTTTTATTCCATCCCCGCTCCCGTAGCCCCGCCCCCGCCGCCCTTCCCACCGCGGCGGCGCCTGCGGGCCAAACTGTGTGCGATCGCCACAGCCGACCACGTACAGAGCGAGGAGACCCCTCCCTTCCTCGTTCGGTTCAATTACCCTCGTTCTTTGCTCTGCGGACGCCACGCTCACCCGCCTGTCCATCAATCCGCGTTTTTTTTACCTTCGCATGTCACGTACATCGAAAACATTCTGGCGTATTGCCGTGGAATTTCAAGAGAATCGTTCGTAAATAAAAATGTACGAAGTACTGTCTGCTGTAAAAAGCGGCGTTAGATAAAACAGCCCTGTGGGTGGAGTCCACACATGCGCTTCTGGTTTCAGGGGGCAGGAAACCAATTAAATTCAAATTACCACCCCAAACGAAAGTAATTCACCTAGCAAAATGTGCTTAGTATTCAATGCAGCACTAGCTTCCACGAACGTTTCATTTATTTATTGACGAGGAATGAACTAACTTTATGTGCAGCGGGCATGAAAGACGGTGAAAATCAACTGAAGTACAATCTCTCTGCGTTTGCAAGTTCAATGTCAAGAATGAGGGACTTCCATGAATATTGATAAACATTACGTTACATACCGTTTTAAAAGCTGCTTTTTCCAATGACAAGACCGCATTCCGTAGTTGTATTTCCACCGACGATTAATCATCACACCACCAATGATGATGAAACATGGCCGAAAAAAGGATACTGAAAATAGAACAAATGTAATAATAATTTTTTGAAACCTTCAGTAACTTTGCTGTAGGATGGTGGTATCCTCACAATATTTAAAAACAATGTAATACTCTTTCTTTACAACAATTTATTTATAAAATTGAACGAAAACACTTTCCGCGATTGAGCAACGCTGCAATATCAGGTATTCTGAAATTATCATACAGATATAACAATAAAACGCCTTTCTTTACTTTTAAAGTGTAATCTAAAAATGCAAAAGGAAAATAAGATTTAAAATTAAAAGATAAGTAGAGAATACTGTTACACTTAAAAATACAAATTTTTAAATTGAAAGTTGAATAAGAACAAACTAGAAAAAGAAAGATAATAAATTTTGGCTTCAGAGGTAACAATCAATAATACTTGTAAAACACTAATTTTAACATAAAAGGCATCAACTAAAACATATCTACTAAAAACAAAGGTATAGACCCAAGGAAATGTCATGTCTACAGGTCGACCTCCACAGTCAGTATCAGCCAAATCGAGGGCTGTGACGTAAAATCGTGACAGTGAAGGGTCTATAGGGGAGGCTCGTGGTCACATACATTTAATGAAAAGGAAAAACCATGGTAAGTATCAAGGTGGACGGGCCTACAAGATCTCGCTAGCATCAGCCGGGGGAGGAGAGGGAGGAAAACGTGTAGAGCATCCCAAAGGATGGAAGACGTAAATATTGAGCGTGACAGGTAGTTTTAAGACAGTGATAATTGGAAGTGAGATTATAAGCACATCCGACCGACTGACCGACCGACTGACCGACCGACTGACCGACCGACTTACTATCAACCATTACGCAGTATCACTATGAGGTGTTGATTTTGTACTTCAGATTAAATAATGGAAAGTGTATGTCTAACCATTTATCTCTATTTAACTTCAGTATTTAAAAAAATAGTTTAAATAACTTGTATTATTTAAATAATGTATAAAAAGTAGTATCCAAAAATTATTTATGTGCATAAAGTATTAACTCCAGTTCTCCAGTCAACAATAATTTTAAGTCGTCTGAAATTCTACTATAAAATCATAAAACATTCCAACCCCCAATTGATACGGACTTAGCACGAGCTGGATTGTCTAAATATTTGAGTAGCATTTCGTTCATAGTTTATAAAGAATAAGTAAGTGCTTATATTAGATAACAATGGGAAAATGCAAGTTTGTATCACAGATAATGACTGCTCTTGATAACCATTTTTATTTCCAACATCCGTTCTCCCATTCTCACTTGCGTGTTGCAGGAGATGCTTAGCGACACATGAGCTCTTTCCATCCGCCATTCGCAGCGACATTCTCATTGTGGATGGACTATTACAGCTCTTATGAACTAGATTATTGGATAGATCATCTCTCCATGTCATGCCACAAAACATTTGTGGGCACTCTCACGCAAGAACTTTTCCCATTCAACTACACCACTCACAAACATTTCAAACTAAATTGACTTATTACGTTCTTAACGATAAGTGAACAGCAAAGGAATCCGAATATTTTACATTCCGTTTCCAAATCTCACACTATATCTAGAAACACTCATTCCGAGAATGACTTCGAAACAGCCCCAGAAAAGTTCGCGATTACCATTTTATAAAATTCACATGGGGAGGAGCCCATAAATAACACAATGCAAATTTATGGCAACGGTTCGATTGTGGCATGACTCTGCACGCGACTATCGCCGATAGTGTGCGAAAATGGCGGCTCCCATCGAAGCCCCGCGAGGTCGCAGGCGGCGCGGCGCGGCCCTGGCCGGTCAGCCGACGAATCGCGGGGGTCCGCAAGCCTCCAAAAGTAGCAGGGCGCTGATTTACGACAAAATCGTGTTTTCATTCCCCAATTCCAGAACATGGGGAACACAAGGTTAACGATAGGATGTCAGCGTACACGAACGCTTGAACAGTGAAAAAACAGGATTCGCCTGCAACAACTGGGAATTATTGGACGAGCTTTTCGACAATCTATAGGCGATGTTGGCAAATTTACGAATACAGTTTATGAATAATTCGTAATGGCTTCATTTCTACAATTCTACAATAGAAACATTTATTTTGAGTTTATTGCATCATTAAATTTTAAAACCATTTTTTTCAAGAGTGATATCAAATAACTCGCGAGTGATTTATTCTTGTCGACTACTGTTAGAGACTGTGTAAAGCCAGATGCCACGAAATCTGTTTTTTTAGTTTATTAATAGTCGCATCAACTGCTGGGTTATTAGCGACTTTAGTTACATTTTACGGTTACATATTACATTTGTGTTTTACAATATGTTACTTATAAAAATACAGTGTTATTGTAACGTTATATACAGTTTACTTGGCATATTAAACTTGAAAATGAATTTACTATTATTTCTCATATAGAGTTTATCATACCAATTCGTGTTAAAAAGTTCATAACGTCGAACACACAGTCAATATCGTGCAAACAGTTCTTGATGTTCTCAGGCAATGAAGTTCTTTCACTTTAGTAATTATTGCACTGTGTTAACATGTCGAAAATAGAGGTTGCAGTTCCACATTTAGGCAGATGCCAAGAAGTGTATTGCGAACAATAAATGTTAAAATAAATTCAAATCAACGTTCCTGAAAGGTTATTTTCAGACTGTCACCGGTCGGCGTTGCCTTTACGCACACCGCTACAAATACTGGCAATCACATACTAAATGCCAAAATAAAAACTTTTATAAGTTATCACAAGTCACACCTTGTCAGATTAAATACTGTTAGGAAGATGAAAGATGAGTAGATGGCATTGTTTCATTAAGCACCCATTTACATCTAATCTCGAAAGACCTCTTGAGATCCAGTCATCTGGCCACGGGGATGCGGGATTGCTCAGAGGAAGTGGCCAAGGCTGTGGCAGCGAAGACAGTGACGCGACGTGACGGTGACGGCGGTGACGTGACGGTAACGTAACGGTAACGAAACGGTAACGAAACGGTAACGAAACGGTGACGAAACGGTGACGAAACGGTGACGAAACGGTGACGAAACGGTGACGAAACGGTGACGAAATGGTGACGAAACGGTGACGAATCGGTGACGAAACGGTGACGAAACGGTGAGTGCAGTGCCGAAACGGTGACGACGATGGAGTAGGAGGTGGTGGCGGTAGCAGTGGCAGCCGCGGTGGTAGCGGTGACTGCGGCTGTGATTGCGGCGGTAGCGGCGGCGGCGGCGGCGGCGGCGGCGGCGGAGGAAAGTCGTGACGGCGCGTGGGCAGCCCGTTTAACGAAGTCGATGGCGCCGTCGTGTCCCGCGATTCGGTGCTCGTTAAGGAGACGTCTCGTGAAGCGCCGGTAATGGTAGCAGCGGCGATGGCCGCCTGCTCCTGGATGCTGCTGTCGCTGTCACAGCCGCAACCAACCGCTGCCGCAGCTGCCGTTGCCACTTTTTGCGCTTTAGTATTAGCCACCGGTGTTGCCTCTGTCAAACCTACGCTAACGCATGTTACTCTTCCGTTGATTCTTCCTTTTATTTTGCGCGCGTTCGCAATCATTTTCTCTCTTCTATTTCATTACGATTTTACCTCCTATCCGCAATCATTGTCACTTCCAATGCTTACTCTTTATTACCGCCGGTTTCTACCCTTCTTCGTTCGTTTTTATCACGACATTTTATTTATAAATTCTATTCATTATTCTGTTCAACACTTAATTTGTCTTCCTTTTGTATTCATTCTGCCTTATAAGGAATCTTCAATGATTTCGTCTGCCCTCTGCAAATGCTCATTATTTTCGATGCCATCTCCGAGCAGCTATTTCTCTCGACTTGGTGTTTCTCAGTACTTAATTTTACGACCTGACACCGACTACTTCGCTCCGGCGATAGCCACTGCGGCCGTAACCATATACTCATAGTAGTTGATGTTTCTGCGAGGCGCCGCAGTCCGGTCGCATCTCATTAGCTGCGTGGGCGTGGTCAGCCAATCGTCGCGTCGCCAACCCACCATTCTACTTGGCCAGTGACGAGAGAACAAGAGCTCCAAAGCAAAGAAGTAATTGCTGTGGTGATATATATGATGCTCCCAGAGATGTCTTCAGATTTACATTGTATATCTGACGCTTGAGAAGGGGGCATCAATTGGTTCTGATTTGTATCTCACGATTTCAAGAGTAGAAAGATCATCGGACGGCATGTCAGGAAAAAAAGACTTTTCAAGAACGTATACACGACAACTAGCTTTTCACTGTGATTGAAAAGAATGACCAACTATTGCACTTTTGCTGGAGTAAATTTCTGTAAATACAATGAAAAATATTATACTAGAAATCATATTTGATCGTATTGATGAGCATCCATTAATTTACAATTGAATAAATAATATATTTAGTAGTATAAAAGATATCACACAAATTATGTAATAGTTCAGGTTTCTTTCAAATCATGTTTTTTGTCGTCACTCGGGTATTTTGTCACCGCTCAAACATTAGAACACTTATAACGCCATTAGTGCATAAATAACTATTGTGACATCTGTTGATATCAAAAAAAAAATAATGGTACTCCTGAATGTAAAAATTAGAGGTGCTATAGATTGTCTCGTACTAGTTTTCCTTTTCTCTTCAATCTAGGGTTTTCGAGTTAACTGCATTCACTTTCCCAGCCCCTAAAAAAACTATCTCACATGTTCTGTTTTACAGACCCCCTATTTTCTTTCTTATTTATGATCGCTTTATAACTTCAGAAATAATAAATCACTTATTAAAATATAATTTTTAACAATATTTAAGTAGAGTAAAACATAGTCCTTAAACAAAAATGAGTTCACATTTTTAAATGAAAATTTGTTTGAGTCGTTTTGTCGTAAACCAATTTTTCCGTAACAAAACACTAGTAAAACGTGAATTCTGATTTCACAGAGGGTCAGAGGAAGTAATTTACTAAGTATTGGAACAATATTTATACAATTTTTTGATATAAGAAACTCGCAACTCGAGTTTTTCCTGTCGAAATATCGCCGTGTTTGCAGCAGAATTTAACTCTCTGTTCTACGCAAGCAGTATGAGAAATTAAAAGGAGCATTACATTAAAAATGTTATGATAACCAAATTTCGTTTAAACTAGTGCTAAATAGACCTACAGATAGTAACTACAGATCATAAATTACTATACGATGGCAGAAATAAAAAGAGATCAGAAAAGTCCTACAAATTTAACGATTTTCTAATGAAATAATAAATAATTAAAAAATGCATTATGGAAAATAGTTCATAAAAATATACCATACTGAAATTCTTTAAATTAAATGTTTCATTTAATTTATTATAATAAACAATCTAGCACATTGGCCACAAGCCAGCGTAGCCACAATTTATGCTTTTTTACAGCAATTAAAATGGTATTTACTTGGGTTAAAGTGAGAAAAGGTATTATATTTCTTTAGATTTGAGAATTCCGTGAATATGTGCCTCGATGCGACGAAACTAAAGAGCAACAAACATGTAAAACATATTAGAACATTATTAAATCAAATTACATATAAATATTCGCAGGAATAAAGATTAGGACATTGACAACTAGAAAAACCAACATATTCTGTCAACACTGAGTCTATATCTACACATGTTTGTAACATCAAGTATTGCTATATTTTAGACGTTTCCTCTACTAATGTCCCAAAAATGAAACTACGCTAAATAGTAAGTTTTCTCGGAAGTGGTCAACTTTAACTTCACGAAACGTCAGAAAATAGATGATAACGATTCCAAGTGAATGGCGAATGTTTAATACTCGGCCCTCAGAAGTACGAGTAGTTACACTCTGGGTACAACATCGCAGCGGCGACGAGTTAGGCGGTGCTAAGTGAGCAGGTGAGGCTTCTAAATACTCCAGAACTACCGTGCATCCGCTAATGATCGCATACCTATGTTTTCGCTCTTCTTTTTGTGTCCTGTTGTTTTTTTAATTTCAAACTACTTATAATATAAATACGTACAACCATTTTCACAATCATACCTTAGAAATATGTGTAAATTTGGTAATTTAATTTTTTTTTAAATTAAGACATTTAATTATATTTATTATTCGTTGAAGGTGAATTAAAATCTTCAATATAATACATTAATCGCAATTATAAATGAACATAATATCAGTACACATTATTTACGATTATACTTTACAAACACATTAATAAGAATTTTAAATCACAATACATTTTTACATGCATGATTGGCTGAGAGTCGATTCTCCTCTACACAGGACGTTTTCCAACACCCTGTTGGAGCGCCATATTCTCCGCAACCACAGTCGGCGGCTGTGGCGGCAACTGCTTTAAGGTGACCGCCAGC